GGCAACAAGTTCATAATATGACACCAAACCACAAGTAACAAAGGCAAAAATAGACAAGTGGGGCTCAAACTCAAAAGTTTCTCACAGCAAAGGAAACAATCACAAGAGCAGAAAAGTAACATGTAGGATGGAAGAAAATATTTGCAAGCCATATATCTGATAAAAGGTAGATTTTTAAATATACAAGAAACTCTTACAACTCAACAGCAAGAAAACCTAATGACCCAATTTTAAAATAGGTTAAAGATTTGAATGAATGTTTCCCCAAAGAAGATATACATGTGGCCAAAGAAGATATACATGAAAATATGTTCAAAATCATTAATCATGAGGCAAACGTGAATAAAAACCACAAAATAAAAACCAAGTCTTGCAAAGATGTGGAGAAATTGGACCTTGCGTGGTTGTAAATTGCATACCGCACAATGCAAAATGGTGCAGCTGCTATGAAAAACAGCATGGAGGTTTTTAAAAACATTTAAAATAGAAGGAAAAAATAACAAAAAAATTAAAATAGAATTATAATATGAACCAGCAATCTAATTTCTGGATATTTATTCAAAAGAACTGAAATCAGTGCCATGAAGGGCTATTAGCACTTCCATTTTCACTGTAGCACTATTCACAAGCACTAAGATGTGAAAACAACCTAAATGTCTACTGATAAAAGAATGGATTTTAAAAATGTAGTTTATATATTCAGTGGAATATTATTGTGCCTTAATAAAGAATATTCTCCAGCATTCAGCAACATGGATGAACCTTAAAAATGTTATGCTAAATGGAATAAGCCAGCTGCTGATGGACAAATACTTCATGATTGCACTTATATGAGATATCTAAAATAGTCAAACTCACCAAAACAAAGAATCTAACATTGGTTGCTAGGGGCTGGGGAAGGGAGCTGTGAGGAGTCGCTAATCAGCAGGTATAAAATTTCAGTTATGCAAGACAAGCAAGGGCTAATGGTCTGCTGCACAATCCCTTGCCTACTATGGATAACAATACTGTATTTACTGTGCGCTTAAAAATCTGTTAAGAGGGAGGTCTCATGTTAAGTATTCCTATCAGAATAAAATGAAGGATAAAAAACAACTGAAATACAAAGCTACAAATAAGTAAATATGAAAGTACAAAAAATGTATATATCAGCCATGAGATCCAATATTATGAGCTGATGCAATTTTGATCAAAATCTCAGCAGGTTTTTTCTACAGAAATTGGCAAGTCGATACTAAAACTCATACAGAATACAAAAGACCTAGAGTTGAGGAAACAACATTTTAAAGCAAGAACGAAGTTGCAAGGCTAAATCTACCCGATTCCAAGAATTATTAAAAAGTGACGGTAATCAAAGCTGTAGTTTTGGCATAAAGGCAGACAAATAGATCAATGGAAAAGAATGTAATGTATGGAAAGAGACTCATATACATCTTGAAAACTGATATTTGATAAAGGCAAAAGCAATTCAGCCAAGAAACAACAGTCTTTTTAATATATGGTATTGAAATCTTTGGGCAGTCACATAAAACAACTTTATATTGGGCACAATATAAAAAATCAACTAAAATGGACCATGGAACCAATGTAAAACCTCAAACTATAAAACTTACAGGAAAATAACAGAAGAAAATCTATGTGAATTTGGGAAAGCAATGATTTCTCAGATACAATGTAAAAGCATGATCCATAAATAACATATTGCTAAATTATACTTCATCAATTTGAAGAATTTTTACTCTTTAGAAACCAGTTAAGAAAATGAAACTTAAAGCCATAGTGAAGAGTAAATATTTGGAAAGCAAATATCTAATAAAGAACTTGTATCCAGAATATATTTTTAAAAACTCTGAAAACTGAAGAAAATTGTCAACCCCTATTTTTAAAACAGGCAAAAGATTTGAACACATGCCAGCAAAGAAAATACACTAGTGAAGAATATGCTCATGAAAAGAGACTCAACATCATTAATTAGTAAGGAAAAGCCATATAAAACAAAGATATCCTAACATACCTGTTAGAATATCTAAAATTTAAAAATGGTGATCATACCAGGTGATGGACACTATGAACAAACCGGAACTCTTATATGTGGCTGGTGGGAATGTAAAATGTTATAATGACTTTGTAAAAACAGTTTGGTAGTTTCTTAAAAAGTTAAAATAAACCTACCACACACCCAGCTACTCCACGCTTTGGTATTTGCTCAAGAGTAACAAACACCATGATCTCACACTTATACACATGTTCACAACAGGTTTATTTATAATTGCTCCAAACTGAAAACAACATAAATGTTCATTAACAGGTGAATGAACAATATATAGTATATACAGTGGAACATTTGTCATCAATAAAAAGGAATCGGCTACTGACAGATACAGCAAGCACCACGTATAAATCTCAAGATCGGGCACAGCGACTCACACTTGTAATTTCAATTAGAAGGGAGGCAAAATTTTGGAGAATTAAGGTTGAAGGCCCAGGGGAAAAGTTAGTGAGACCCCCATCTCAACAAATACGCTGGGTGAATCCCAGCTATAGAGGTCACAGGTAGAAAGAATGGAGTCCAAGGCCAGCCAACATGAGAGCCTATCTGAAAAATAACTACAGCTGAAAAGGGCTAGGGTGTGGCTCAGGCGATAGAGCATGTGTTTAGCAAGCTTGAGGCCATGAGTTTAAGCCCCAGTACCATTTCCCCAAAAGATTAGGATGCTGACTGAAGTAAGCCACATAAAGAGTATTTATTTTATGATTCCATTTATAGGAAATTCTAGAATATGAAAAGTAATCTGTGGCTTCAGAAAGCAAATCAGTGGTTGCCTGGAATGGGGCTGGAGGACAGGGAGGGTGGCAAAGAAATATGGCAAAATTTAAGGGCAATGAATGTTTATTATCTGGATTGTGGTGATGGTTTCATGGGAATATGCATGTGCCCAATCTGGCCAAATCATATATTTTAAGTATTTGAAATTTATTTTTTATCAATTTTTCCTTTAAAAAGCTGTTAAAAATTTTGCCTGTTTAGTGGGATTCAGTTCTACCCCAATATATTTTTTTTAAAGCTTAATGGTAACCAGGCACTGGGGAAGCAGAGGAAAGAGACACATGAGTTTAAGGCTAGTCTGGTCTACAAAGTGAGACTCTCTCTCTCAAAAAATAAAACAAAAACCTCTCAATGGCTGTGGTTATTCCTGCCACATAGTAAATGTTCAATAAATAACTTCATCCTTCTTGAAGATTAAACTAAAAATATGTTAGGAAATGTGACTTTAAAAAAAAAAAATCACACCAGGTGTGGTAGCTACTCAGGAGGCAAAAGTCAGGAGGACTGCAGTTTGAGGTCAGCTGGGGAAAAAGTTAGCAAGACCCCATCTTAACTGATAAAAGCTGAGTGTGGTGGTGCATACCTGTCATTCCAACTATGCAGGAAACACAAATAGGAGGATCACAGTCCAGGCCTGCCTGGGCATAAAAGCAAGAACCTATCCAAAAAATAATGAAAACAATATATATGTAGACATATATTCCAGATTGTTATACACTGTAACAGTGTAATGCTTTGCTCTATTAAGTCAGAAAAAAATACAAAATGAAATAGATTTCATTTTTGTCTTTTCTTTCGCTAATGTTTAGAGGTAGGAATTAAACTGAATATTTACAATTCTAAGAAAACATATAAGCAGAGTAAAAATGCTAACTTAAATTAGAATGTGAAATAAAGAAAATCTGAATCTCTTAGGAATATGATAGAATATTTTATTTTCTAAATTTAAAAAAGCAGCATACTCATTCAAAAATCTAATATCTTACCTAAAATGACTTGCCCTTAAGATATACCTAGTCACAGAAAATTCCATACTAAAATTTCCTTTCAACAATATTGTTTTCTTTCAAAGTGCAATATGCAAAGAGAAGTATCCTTTACCTGTCCTTCCTTCTTTCCACAGCAGTAAAGATACTTTGGCACACATCAACAAGATGAAATCTGAATGGCTATGGATTCCAATTCTGATTCCTCTACTATTTTGTTATTCTGCCTCTACTACAATAGCTTCCATTTTCCTCACATCTAATATAGAAGCTAGAGAAGCCTACATAGGTGATGAACATTCCGTAGTTGCATGTAAATCCTTTACTTAAAGACTTATCTCCTAGAAGAGGAATTAGATATGTTTGGTATGGCTCCAAGAGTTCAAAACAAGACTGGTGACTGGAAGCTATGGAAAAATATTTTATAATAAGGAAAATGTTAGAACTGTATCAATAGAATATGTTGAGTTAAGTCAATAATGAGTTCCCCATCGTAGGTGTTCAAATATAGACTGGATGATTTTAAGCCTTCACTTTTGACTATAGCTAAGATGAATTAGTTTATGTGGATAAAAATTTTAAAAAATCAATACAAATTTGCAACAAGAATGGGTCAAAGCATAATCCTGGACGATTTTAAAAGCTTAAGTGAACTATAAATGTGTTTATGGAATATCATCCACCAATATCAACATAAATGAGCTTTTTGTTTCTGTCGGGGCCTAGGTTCTTTGACAATGTTATTATGATGTAAAATATTCAAGGTTAAAATTCATTATATTTGATGATGCTATTTGTTCTAGAAATTTATCTGAGTTTGTACTATTTTAAAAGCAGTTGTTTTCTACTGAATACACACACACACACACACACACACACACACATATTGGTACCTAAATGCAGATACTAGCTCTCACTTCTACATCCTCTCCTCCCCTAACATTTCTCATTCAACATTGTGTGTGTGTGTAGACCTGATATGTAATTTTAAACATGCATTCTAAGTGATTTTTTTAAATTGTAGATAGTCAAAAAGTTATACTTTGCAAAACAAAAGGGGAGCACGGAAATGACTAACCCCCATTCTTTCTATGCAAGAGTTTATGGAAATACTACAAAACTTTATACTCAAATGAATTCCATCTTTTAAACACTGACATGTTTTGTTTTTATTCTATCTCAGGGCCCAAAGCCAAAATGAAATTGATAATACTTGTCACCATTGAGCTAATTTTGCTGCTAGGAGTCCAAGCCATGCCTTCAAATCGCCTGTCATGCTACAGAAAGACACTGATAGATCGCAACTGTCACAACCTTCCAGAAGGAGTAGCTGACCTGACACAGATTGACATAAATATCCAGGATCATTTCTGGGATGGGAAGGGATGTGAGATGATCTGTTACTGCAATTTCAGCGAATTGCTCTGCTGCCCAAAGTAAGGAAATGAATGTGTTGCTCTGAAATGTATTGCTATGAATGTATACAGAACAAGTCTTTTAAAGAAATCTTCAAATGGATTTCCTGAAACTATTTACTCTTTTAAATAAAATCTTGTTCAAATCCCAAATGTTATCTAGAATTATCACTATTATGAAAGGAATTAAATGTTTTTGTTTAAGAAATGAAGTTTGGCAGAGTTTAGTAAATCTAAATGAAGCCAGGCTTGGTGGTTCATATCTATAATCTCAGCACTCTGTTTTTTTTTTTTTTTTTTTTTTTTTTTTGTGGTACAGGAGTTTGAATGCAGGGCCTCACACTTGCTAGGCAGGAGCTCTACTACTTGAGGTTCTCCGCCAACCCAATCCCCACATTCTGAGGTGGAGGCAAGAGGATGGTAAGTTTTGAGACACTGTCTCAAAACACCAAACCAAAGCAAAACAAATCCTAAATGAAAACCAGAAAAATAATAAAACTTCTATCTATTAAATTCTAAATTTTCCATCTGACTTTTACTACAAAAACTGATTGGTAGTAGAAATGAACCTCAAGGTTGCCTTCATAACCACTTTGAAAACCAATGCAAGGTTTTAGATAAAAGATGTTTGTGAACATTATCAAGTAATTAATTGGACAGAAAAGTTTCATAATGGTAAAATAAATAAATAAAAATAAAAAACCCTCTAGTTCAATGTATGAGTTAACCAGAAATGAAAGCTCATGACTGGAGGTGTGGCTCAGGTGGTAGAGCACTTACCTAGTAATCTTGAGGCCCTGAGCTCAATCCCCAGTACCACAAAAAAAAAAAAAAAAAAATTTTACTTTTTTTGGAAAGTAAGAATATTTTAAGTACAAGAAAAAAATAAACAAGGAAAATAAAACAAAAAAGAAAAAAGAAAAAAAACAGAAAAGCAAAAAAAAAAAAAAGGTAGATAAATCAGTAAATATTTTAGCTCCTGATTTTAAAATCATCTCTGATTATTTAAAAGTATTTCAAATACTATGCTCTTGGACATTTCATAATGAAATTAACTTTTTTAAAAATTACTTTTGACATCTGCCATGTTTTTATTCTTCTAAGAAATCTAGAAGGTAGAAAAGGCAGATGTAATTCTCTTACTGAGGAAAGGTAGACTTAAAGTGACCAACACTATCCCATGTAACTAGCTAATACCAGCACAGAGACTAGAAGCCAGGCTAGGACCAGATACTTTTTCTCTCAAGCCTGTTGGTTCTCAGAACAGCAATTTCAAGATCTAAGTTTCTGTTAAAATGTACATCCATCCTTGAACCCCACCCCAGACCTTCTGAATCAGAGACTCTGATTAACAAACCCTCTAGGTGCTTCTGATGCATGATAAAATTTCAGAATCACTATATAAATAATGATACCTAGAACTTGAGTTAATTAATCCCATAAAATCATTTCCTCTGTATTATACAAATGAAATGCCAACTAGTATTAAAATGCAATACTTGAATTTTTGTTATTGGATTACTTGAAGCCAATTTGCTAAAATTGACTTGTATTAATTTTATGACATTTTGATATTAATAGACTTGAACAAGAATATGGATATACAGAAGAATTTCTCTTTGATTTTGGGATACTGTTTTCCTAGTAGCAACAGATTTACCTCACTAAGTATATTCCTAAAAAGCCATAATCAGAACATCACCTTGCACATTTTATACTATTCCATGCATTTTTATAATTACCAGAATAGATTTGAGTAGTTTTTTTAAAAACATTTTTCCCTTCCCTATAAAATGTAGAAATTTAAGGACATTCCTTTTGAAGTGTTAGTAAGAGTTTACTTTAGTATAACTGGATAAAGTGGGGAGAAATAGAAAAAAGGAGAAATACTTCCTGCTTCCCCCACAGGAAATGAGAGCAAAGACTCCTATTTAATGACTTTCTAAGAAATTTTTCATGTTCTGTTTCTTACTTGCAGATTTAAACTTCATAACCCACCCCTGTATTAAAAAGTAAAATTTTATGTATGATTATAAGGTTTTGAAATTACCTAATTTTCCTTTTCTTTATGTATAAATGATAGCATAGTACCAACGGCAAATGGGGAGAAGTAGAAGAATCAAGTTACCTTCTTGGTCTTCATTGCTCCTGTGGCAAGCTTTCCACTCATCTCTTTGTACTTTATTCACTTAAAAAAAGAATAGTCATATGTGAAATCCTGAGAATCATTGTCCATTTTAACTGAGAAAAAGACTAAGACATATTGTAGCTTTTTAGCTGAATTTAATTGATGTTTTACTTTCTTTCAGAGATGTCTTCTTTGGACCAAAGATCTCTTTTGTCATCCCTTGCAACAATCACTGAGAATCTTCATGTGTTCCCGAACACCATCCCTAATTTCTCACAAGCTATACTACATCAGCATAACTGCATCTCTGATTTCTGTCTAGTATAATAAAGCACAGATTCCATAAAGCCTTACTCATCCAAGACAAGTAACCCTGTATGAAATAAGCAATAAAAATTAATTCATTAATTTTTCTCTGTGGTCATTCACAGCACTGATCAAAATTTTTCCTTAGAGAATTTTCATTTATGAGGTATTCACCCCACTCAGCATAATTCTGACCCCCAGATAGATAGCCACAATTGTGGCTCAAAGATTGAGAATACCTTCAGTCTTTAACAGACAGATTTTGACCATGTATATTTAATGGAAAGAGCCAGGTACAAATTGAACTTCTTGGAAAGAAAACTAAGTCTTCCAGTAAGAAGAAAAAGAGGAACCAATTATTAAATGTATAATATGTATGCCAAGTATACTAAGTACATTTTAATTATACTGCTTTAAAAATAACAAAAACCTTTGAGGTAATATTCTTAGCTCCATTTTTTCTAACTAAAGTAAAAATATTAGCTAAAAATCAAGAAAGAATTTGAAAAGAAATCCAATCCCAAAGTTCATACACTACACACACACACACACACACACACACACACAGAGTTACATCTTTAAAACCATGACACATATGTCCAAGGTATCTTTTTTTTCCCTTAGAATAACAAAACACACATTCAAAGAGACAAATAATGGAGGAGAATTAAAAAGTCACGTAAAATTTAAAAGCAAGTAAAACAGGCAACTTCAAAAATGTTCTCTAATTGTTAGAAGAGACAGCTTTGGACTATGCCCCCATGTTTTAAGAGGTTAAGTGTTGACTTACAGTGGCCATCAGGGATAATTTCAGAAAGTCTTTCATGTTATAAAAATGTATTGTATGCTTGCTAAGTGCCATCCATTATTAAGTAATATTCATTATTACTTTTTCATTAAGTAATTAATAAGAAAGATATGTCTACTCTGAACTTGTGTTCTAACAAAGCTGTAATCATTACAAGTAAATAATTATCTATAAATGTGAAAGCCTGCTACAAAGAAGTATAGGTATGAAGTATTGTGGGGAAGTTTGAGAAATACCATATTGTGCAGACAATCTAGGAAATAACATTTTGGATAAAAAGTGACACTATTTCATTGAAGAACAACCTTGGAGATCGCTGATCTGTTTCTGAAGACCCCATCCAGAACAGTATCTGTTCAGTGTTCAGTGTTACTGGGCTGGCTCAAACAATTTTGAGTAATCATTTGCTCTTAAAATCTCTACAAATATAAATCAGAACATGTTTTTAAATACTATGACCTCCTGAGAAATGATTGAAAAGTGGAATTATAAAAAAATCAAATTAGTTGTTTTACCAAAATAGCAGTGCGATTTGATTGAACTTTCTTCACTGAATTCACTGGCAATAAAATCAAATTCACTCAATACAGGAAGTCTTACACTCCTTCTGGAAGTGTATAAAATAGGCAAATAAAGAAAATTATCAGTAAACCTGTTTCATTTTCTGATCTCTGAGGGGAAAAATAGTGCTAACAATCCATCATCTCTATTTCTAAATGACACATCAGTCTGAGGACACATCTGAACCAATAATGGCTTTTTAGTAGTGTTCCTTTACTACTGAAATCAAAGCCTGATAAGAAAAAGGTAAGATTTGAAAAGAACTTAATATTCAATAAATTGAATACATAGACTATAGATTCTTCATCATTGAATACTTCCTGGAAATATATGCAATATGAAATCTAATTGTATTCTTTTACAAATGAACACATCATAGAAGCACACATCCTTCTCTATATTACTAAATAAATGTAAAAAACATGAATGTTCACTTACCTCATGCAACTTTTTCTAATTTGGTCAATACATTTTTAAAACCAAACATTTCATTCAGACATAATGATGAGTAGATCCTTTACTTTTTCAATAGATGTTAGTTATATAAAAAAAGACGAACATTAAAATTTACTACTGTTTTAAGCACTGTCTTGGAATAATTAAATGAAGTAAGTACTGTCTGTGGATAAAAATGCCAAGGCTTTGATAAATTAGGTATCTTATCCAAGATTTCATTATCAGTGAGTAGTAGAACCAGGTTTTGAATATGGTCAGTCTTACTGTAGCATCTAGTCTTTTGTTGTTAGGACTACGGTTTGAACTGGGCTTCACACTTGCATCTAGAGTCTTAATCACTACATTAATGGCATCATCTAATTTAGCTCTTTTTTAGGAAAGCAATTTTCTTCTGGATTGAACACAAAATTATACATTTCATGTGTGCTTTTCTCTTTCTCCTTTCTGTCTTTCTTTTTGTTGGACTGGGGGTTAAGCTCAGGGCTTCATGAGTGCAAAGTAGCGTTCTACCACTTGAGCCATACCTCCAGTCCATTTTGCTCCAGTTATTTTGAAGATGAGGTCTTGTGAACTATTTGCCTGGACTGGCCTTGAACTATGATCCTCCTGATCTCAGCCTCCCAAGTAATTAGGATTATTGGCGTGAACTATGGCACCTAGTTGCTAAGTGTTTTCTGAACATCAATTTCTGTATTTTTGTCCTTGACCTCCTGTATTCTTTTTCTTACTCTAACTCCCATATTGCTGAGTACAAAGTGGGGAGTAATACTTACTAATAACTCATTGATTCCTGATAAAATTCTCTTTTCCTCATCATACTATACAGGGAATCCTTGAATATTTTTGTATGCTGGGATTAGGTGGATCCTAAAGGATTATTAGAGGATTGGAAGCAATATAGAAAACCCTTGAATATTTTTGTATGCTGGGATTAGGTGGATCCTAAAGGATTATTAGAGGATTGGAAGCAATATAGAAAACCAAGGCAAAGAGCATCTATTGGAAGAAAGGAAGGCCAGGTGGGAACATTCGTGAATCATTTTGCAACTCTTAACTTCCTTATAATTGCCAAGAGGTACACACAAGTTCTTTCCATAATAAATCACTTTTGATCAAATAGGAGTAAGGCAAGAATACTTGCTTTCACCAGTGCTACTCAACATTGTTCTGGAAGTCCTAGCCAGAACAATTTGGCATGTAAAAGAAATAAAAGTATCTAAATTGGAAAACTGTCATTATTTATGTATAACACGATTTTCTATATAGAAAAATCCCATGGAATCTACAAAAAAAACCTGCTAAAACTAATAAACAAATTCAGCCCGGGTGTAGGAGCAACACACAAAGTCAGTTGTTTCTATATACCTTAATGAACAATCCAGAAAAGAAATTTAGGGAACAATTCCATTTACAATAGTATCAACAAGAATAAAACACCCAAAAATAAATTTACCTAAGGAGATGAAAGACTTGCACACTAGAAAGTATAAAATATTACAAAAGAAGATCTAAATAGAGATATCTCATATTAGTGGATTAGAATGCTTAATATTGTTCAGATGACAATTTTAAAAGTGTACAGGTTCAATGCAGTCCCATCAAAATTTTAATGACTCTTGTGCAAAAATAGATAAACCAGTCCTCAAGTTCCACCAGAATAATCGAAACAGTATTGAAAGAAAAACAAAGTAGGATTCACATTTCCTGATTTCAGAACTGGTAATAAGGCTAATAGATGTAAACTAATGGAATAGAATTGAGTGTAGAGAAACAAACCGCAACATCTATGGTCAAATGATTTTCAATATTGAGGAAAGACTAATCTCTTTACAAAATGGTGCTGGAACAAGCTAACCACATACAGAAGAATGAAGTTGGACCCCTACCTCATCTCTGTTTTTGGTTTTGTTTATTTTTGGTGGTACTAGGGTTTGAACTCAGGGCCTCATACTTGTTAGGCAGGGGCTCTACCACTTGAGTCACTCCACCAGGCCCCTCTCATCTCTCTATATGAAAATTAGTTCAACAACCTTAAACAAGCTACTGAAAATAGAAGAAACAAAAGCATTAATCGTCAGGATGTTGGATTTGGCAACCAATTCTTCAATTTGTTCCAAAAAGTAGAGCCACAAAAGAAAAACTAGTTAAATTGGACCATGTAAAAATTAAAACTTTTGTGTATTACAAAAATGTGAAAATACGGCTTACAGAGTGGGAGAAAATATTTACAAACCATATGTCTTATAAGGGTTTAATACCCAGAATAAAGATCTCCTGCAGCTCATCAACAAAAAGGCTGGGCAGTAGTGGCTCACACCTGTAATTCTAGCTACTAGGAGGCAGAGATCAGGAGGATCGTGGTTCGAAGTCGGACACCATCTTGAAAAATACCCTACACAAAAAAAGGCTGGTAAAGTGGTTCAAGTGGTAGAATGTCTGCCTAGCAAGCATGAGGCCATGTGTTCAAACTGTAATACTAACACAGGAAACAAAAAGACCCCAAAAGGGCAAAACAACCCAGTTAAAAAATGAATAAAGGACTTGAGAAAACAGTTCTCCAAAGAACCAAATATCCAGCAAGACTATGAAGAGATGTTCAATATTATTGATCATTAAGTATATAGAAATCAAATATAAAGATATACAGATCAAAGGTAAAATGAAGCAGCTCTTCATGTCAGTAGGATGGTTTTTATTAGTAATAAAAGGAAACGCAAGTGCTGGAAATTGGAGAAACAGTATCCCTCACTGTTGCTGGTGAGAATGTAAAATTTCAGCTACTTAAAAACGTTGAAAGTTCCTCAAAAAGATCTAGTGGGGTTGATTACAGAAACTAATGAAGTATTATATGACTCAGTAATTCTATTGTTTTGTATATACCCAGAAAAACTTGTATAGGAGTGTTTAAAGCAGTATTACTCATAATAGCCAAAGGTAGTAGAAGAAACTTAATGCTCACCAATGGGTGAATAGACAAATTATAATATACAGAAACAATGGAGTATTATTCATCCTTAAAAAGGGGTAAGTTGTTTGAACCTTGAAAACATGGTAAGCAAAAGCAGCTAAACATAAAAGGACATATATTGTATGATTCCCTTTATATGATATATTCATAATAGGTAAATGGAAATAAAGAGATTAAAGATTACTGGAGGATGGGTAGAGGGAGGAATAGGAAGTGATTATGTATGACTGTTTTTTAGAGCTGTTGAGAAGTTTTGAAATTAGAGCTGATGGTTGTACAATATCATGAAGATACTAAATACCACCAAATTGTACACTTTGAAATGGTTGACTATGTATTATATAAATTTCTCAATTAAAAAAAATTGTAGAATAGTTTAATTTTAAAAAGAAATGCATTTCAAAGAGAAAAGTATTTCAGGCATTTTTAGCCTTTCCTAAATTTTTCTTTTACAATTAGTTACTAAATAGCTGACTTATTTTTTGAGTCCCTGTAATATACTCAGTATGCTTTCTTCCTGCTTACTCCAATGGCAGTGAAATTTGGATTCTTCTCAATGTTCTAACATTAAAAGTAACCTGCACCCTTACAGATACATGGATTTCTATTTATTTTTTGATCAGATAGAGAAAAGTAAAAGGATATCTGAATTCATTATTTTTAAAATTCAACAGCATAGAATTAAAATTTTTATATAAGACTTACATTGCAGCTTCTTGAGTTATTCAACCTTGGTGAGTTTCTAGATGGTATAAACTTACAAGATTCCATTTTTCGTGTTTTAAATTGTTTTAACACTTTTCATACAACTACTTTTTATTATGCAAATAATTGTATTAGACTAACATTGCTGGCCAAAGGTTATGTTCATTAACAGATACTGTAATGTAAGCAATTTCAAGTTTTTCATGGGAAAAAAGTGTTTTCATAGGAGAAAGTAAGCATACAGTCAAGTTTTTATTAATAAACTAGCACATCATGTCCCACAGGGAATGTTTGGCAATGTCTAGGGGTATTTTTGGTTGTTAGGACAGCTATTGGCACCTAATGGGTAAACTTCACCAATGCTGTCAATTTTCCTCTTCTGTAACACAGGACCACCTCTCACAGCAAAGAGTTATGTCAGCTTTGAGTTATATTAATGCTCTTATGCATTTCTAGCTAAAATTTGCAGCCAATCTCAGAACATTTTACTAGAGCTGTTTCTGATTTCCTTATGTGCATAAGCTATAAATTTGATTTGTAAGAATTTAGCTAAGCAATACAATCTCAAGAAAAGCAGAAGTTAAAAAGAATAGAAAACTACAGCATATAGAACTATAGAAACTGTAGAATAAAATATAAAAATGAAATATGAAAGAAATCAAGTTAGAACCACAGACAACAAAAATTTATTTGAAGAGCCTGTTAGATATCTAGACCATTACAACTTTGGAATGATCCTCCTGCTCTGCCTCTACTTCCTGAGTGCTGGGATCATAGGTATGCACCACCATGCCCAGCTCCAACTTCAGTTTCAACTTCAAAGCGAACAGCACAGAACATGAGTGAAAATTAAGGGACACTGTGCTAATTTTTTATTTTCATGTCATATAAATATCTTTTCTCTAAGATAAAATTTTAAACAACTATTTAATTTTGTTATTTCATCTTTCAGCACTGTGGTTATCTTTGCTGGCACATGAAGTCTTTGGAAAGAGGTGGACATAATAACTAAACTATTATTCTTCCTGATACTTCCTCAAATAATAATAAAAATAAAAAAGAGCTTGCATCTCAGTAGAAATCTATTTTAAATCTGTTGGCACTATACAGCACTTTAAAGAAATAATGCTATTCAGATATCCTAATTTCCAAATCAGATTATCTTAGAGAAAGCAAATGGGTTATATGTTACTTCTCCTTAACCTGTTAATGTCTTGGAATTTAACAAAAACAGTTACAAAACCAAGGACCTTTACATAAAATCTTAATTCTGACCTCTAAACATCAATTTAAGAGAAAAATCAAGTTTCACCAAATAAATACACTGAAGCAACTACAATAGCAATAACCTTTATTTAAAATATTTTTAATCTAGGAAACTCATTTTCTATGAGTCTCCCACTAATTATTAGAGTCAGAAACAAAGAAAATAAAAGCAGAGAAAAGCCTCTGTAGAAAAAATACACAAGGGACACTTCTACATATGAAAAAACAGTAAAATTCTTAACCTCTGAACATCCAAGTATTAGTCTGAATGACATCTTCCCTAGTGAACACCACTATCAACCTTGAGATCTGATTTGTTCTTGTCGTTCTTCACTGAGTAGATGAAATATGTTAAGGTGTCTTTTTCATTCACTGGAATAGACCTAAAATGGCAACCAACTATCTATAAAGGAAAAAAAAATTGAGGAAATTAAAATTTAGATAACAGACTTCATAAACCTCATAAACTAGGTCATCAAAAGTGCTATTTAACAAGAGCTATTTCTCCTAAAATTAAACTGTATTTCACAAAATACCAACAGGACAAAAAGTACATAAAATAAGATGTTATGAATGAGACAGTCTGATTTCAAAGGACCCTTTGGTACACTAAATTAAATATACACTGATTAGATATATTTTTTCTTTTGTTTTAATTTTTAAAATTACAATCCAGATTAGGAAGGAAATATTTTTACTTTTAAACTTTAAATAACAATGCAATAAAACATTAGAGGCTATACACATCATACTAGGAATAGTTTAAGACTTTATTCATAGAAAAAGATTAGTCTGAAGTTGATAAAATTTTGATACTAAAGAAACTAACCATGAAATAACTTTTTTTTTTTTTTTTGGCAGTACTGGAGTTTGAACACAGGCCCTCATGCTTGCTAGGCAGGTGCTCTACCACTTGAGCCATGCCACCAATCCCCATGAAGTATCTTACAAGTATCTTTTATGCAAATTATATTCAATTCATTTGTTGGCAGTATTCTTTGTAAAAGGTCCTTGAAAATTTTTCTGAATAACAATTATAAACGGAAAATGAAAGGAGAAAGAGGGATACTCACTGAAGACCTCTTGCTTCCTTCCTTGGCTTTTTATTGTGATAATCTATACATGTGTACTGCAACTAACAACAGAAGGATAAACTGGGGTGTTCTTATGAATTATCTGTACTCTAGATTTCTTATTTTTAAAACAGAAAATAGTTCAGGAATAATAACTGTTTTTAGAAGGTCAGATTATCATAAATTTGAGGTGTGAGTAATGCATTAAAAATATAAATTTAAATGTAATATTTTAAATAATGAGTTAAATAATCAGGGTCTCATCTGTTGCAGAACAAAGGTGCCTTAACTTGATTATTATCCAATACATTTCATCATGGTAAGCAATATGTATATATTTGTGTATTGTACAATAAAAAAAAGAATAGATCTTTTAAATCAAATTTATAGAAATACTGTATTTTTGTTGCCTAGGCAACAAATATAGAAGAAATGTTGGCTAAATAATTAATATATTGTATTTTAACAATGCTAAAGAGCATTCTGCCAAATTGTAACTTCTATTTAACTTTTATTTAACATGCAACTTATAGAAAATGTAGGATAACCACAAAATTCAAGCTGAAGAATATGAGAAAACTGTATATATTACATTCCTATTCTGTGTCGTAAGTTAAAATTTTTTTGTTTTAAATGATCATAGTACAAATACATAAATCCATAAACATCTTAATAAGATGCACGAATTTCTTGGTTCTATTACTTCTTCACAACACCCATATTCAGTCAGCTTTTCAAAACTCACTGGTGGGCCAGAAATGCTATATCAAAGCAAACTGCAATAAAAGCTGAGATAAAGTCTTTTCTCTTTCAATGTGAAGAAAACATAAATGCCTCTAGTAAAACAAACTAACAAGGACAAATTCTGGAATAGTTAAATTGGCAATTTACAGAAACACTTCAGGGACTCATTGGTGGACCTATTTCACTAGAAGCTTTAAAAACTAAATTCTGTTACATACATTAAGGCTTATTTGTTATGCCTCAATTAGATGTTCAATAAATATTTACTAACTGGAAATTTAAAACTATCAGCTTTCCAGAATAACAATTGAAAAAATTTTCATGCTCTCTCTCTACATATATATATCTACACAGATATACATCTATATATTTAAAAATCTATCTATCTATCTTTTGAACTCAGTGTCTCATAATTGCTTGGCAGGCACTCTGCCAATTAAGCCACTCCACCACCCCTTTTTAGTGTTGGATATTTTTGAAATAAGTTCCTCCCCCTTAAACCCCCCTCAAACTGAGATCTTCCTGATCTCTGCCTCCTGACTAGCTACTATTACAAGCATGAGTCACTGGTTCCATCTCATTCAATATTTTGAAAGCTATTATTAGAGGATACTGTACACAATCTGTATACAATCCATTGGATAATCATTAAATAAAAGGATTTCCCAAGTAGCAGACAAATGTTTTCAGGCAACCAGATTCTTCAACAATGGATTTCTTATTAACTTTGACACTTCTAACAGAAATATACTGTTACATATAGTGTACTAGTAATTCCATTAGCATTTAATGAGTACTTGCTTGTGTGAACAGGTTTAAAACTTAAACAGTTTAAGGTGAGAGAGGAAAGAGAATGACAGAGAGTGAATAAAAAATTTTAAAAATTTAAATATCATATGTACCTCAACAAGTTGTGCTTTATTAAGTCCTGGTCTGGTTGGTAGCTTGAAGTGTCTTTTGTATCTCCTAAGTGTATTTACTTGTAATTGGTACAAATCAACCTAGAAAAAAATTAAGACATATGAATTAGTTCACTGGCATATCACTGATATGTACAATAACAACTTCAACTTCAGTACAACAAAAATTTAATTTTGTTGTTAAAAGCCTTTTATTTAATCAAACCTGTAAGTTATTAAGCAGTTTAATCTTTTTGGGGACAAATATTGTAAACATTTGAGGACAAAGAAGAGGAAGTTCTATGACAACAAAGCTGTAAGAACTGTCAATTCAAATTGTGAAAATATACATTAACTGGCTATCTAATGTTTTGTTCATTTTCAGATTTCTCACATGTTAGGTGGCTCATGCCTGAATTCCAGCTACTTGGGAGGTACAGGTAGCGGTCCAAGGCTTGCCAGAGCAAAAAAAATGGAGACCTGGTCTGAAAAATAACTAATGCAAAATGGCTAGAGGTGTGTCCCAAGTGGTAAAGCACTTGGGTTCAAACTCCAGTACCATGATTATTGTTCAAATCTTTTTACAAAATTTCTGAATGGAATACTTATGATTTACATTCACCATACAAAAACTTTCATCTACCTCTGGCGTATCAATATCTTGAACAGGTGAATCACCTCCATCATCGTCACTCCCTTTTCTTTTTCTTCTGTTCCGAACACTCTGAATTAAGTTTTTATGAAAATCACAAATGTAAAGATGCCTTGCCTGAAACAAAAAAGTTTCACAGATTGTTTATGATAGACATAGAAAAATGTGTTATGTATTAGTAAAATGCATGGGCCACAGTAAATTATTAATAGACAGTCAAACCAGGCCATTTTTAAGACAATGGCATGTTTCCATCTATTTTTAAATACCGTACCTTGTTAAAACATAAGATATCTGGCAGTACTGTTAACCTGTTAAGTGAATGGGGAGTGTAGGGAAGGAGGAATAGTATGGTTCCAGCTGGGGAAGAGAGGGAGCTTGAGGAGAATGAGAAAGTCCAATCTTTTTTTTTAATCAGACTGTAGTTGAGGGTGACCTGAACTAGTTAGTTCATGCTGGATTTTTACTGCCCACAATTTTTGTACTTGATAGTATTTTCTCTGTAAAAGACAACGTATTTTAGTAATTATGCTTTCTAATCTTTAAAAAAAAATTTTTTTAATCCCTGTCTCCCCATTCCCGATACAGACAAGGCACAGGGCCTGGGCTGAGGTGTATATGGGGTAGGTTACTCTACCTCTTTCTATATGGTCAGTGTTTAAGAACACAGCCAGTGGTAAACACCAGGAGGCCTATGCTTTCTAATCTTTCTAATTGAATACTCGAATTATATTCCAGATACAAACTATCGACTTTTACAAATCAGCTACAGAACTCACATTCTTTGTTTAAATTCAATCACTAACTTTTCTTCCTGAGAATCAAATGAATGTATTTTATCCGCAATACGTCGTTTCCAATTAAAGCAATCTGAAATTAAGTTCACCTGAAAACTTTCTCATGCACACTACCGAACAACTGAATCACAAACTTTTCAAAAACTTTACGTGAGATCTGGAGCGCTGCACAGTGACAGGAAAATACTGGGCTTCAAGTATGGAGTTAACTCCTTTTTAAAAAAAAAAAAAAAAGCCACAATCAATTAAGGGTGAGCTAACTAGCTTTTAAATTTACTTCCAAGCTAAGTGCAAGTTAAAAACATACAGGACGTGTGCTACGTTCCGTATCTGTCAGCATTAAGAGCTCCGGAAAGTAGCAATGGCTCTTTCCAAAAACCTCACAGATCGTCAAGAAACAAATCCCGATGGCTACCAAGCCGCAGAGGCTTCCTTGTGGCCGATTCCGAGCAGCTGCCCCAAGCGCTGCCGTTTGCAACAGGGCTCCCTGCAAAGCCAGCTGGGCTTCGCTCCACTATGCAGGGAGCAAAGAGACCAACACAAGATCGAGCTCTTCCCAGGCTGCGGGGGACTCCCTGGCCCCGGAGTCAAACGCGGACTGGGCAGCACAACGAAGGCGCCTCCATTCCAGAAGGGGCGGCCGGGCTGCAGGGCAGCTTCTGGGGGCCCTCGGGGCGGCGATCCCCTTTGTTTGGCTTCCAGATCGCAGCTCAGGCGCAAGAGCGAGCCCGCGCGGGAACCGCGGCGGGAGTCGCGGGGGCGGAGGCCCGAGCGGCGCCGTGTGCGTGCGCGGGGGTGGCGGCCGGAGTTGCTCAGACTTTGTTGTTTGCGCCCTCGCCGAGAGCGCCCGGCCCCGCTTTGCCGCCAGGTCTGGCACCCCGCCAGCAAGCCGTGTCGCCGCGCAGTCCCCCTGACTCCGCGGCCCCCGCCACTTACGCTCTTATCCAGCTCTATCTTCACCTTCTTCTGGGAGATGCTCTTCTGGATCCTCTTGCTGAAGCTGGCGTTGCCGGCCGCCCGCCCGCACCGCTCACCGTCCTCCCGCAGGCAGCACAGTTGCCCGGGGCCCGGCCCCGCCGCTCCCGGGGGCCCCGCCGCCGAGACCGCCCCGCCGCTCGGCACCTCAGCCCCGGCGCCCGCCCCGTTCCCGTTCCCCGTTGAGGCAGAGGCGGCAGCTGCAGCCGCAACTACGGCGGCCACGGCGGCGGCCGCGTCCCCGCCGCGACTCATCTCCTCAGGAGTGAAGCCGTTCATGTCTCGGTACTCTGAGGCTCGGGCTCTGACAGAAATCCCGCTCGCTCCGCCGCCCTCCGCCAGGTCCCCCGGGCACCCTCCCCGGCGGCGGCAAATCACTCTGCACCCCAAGTTCGGTGGCGGCACGGCCCAGCACGAAGTGACCTCGGCCTGCTGGTCTCGGTCGATGCTGGAATAGTGGAGAGTGTTTGTGCCTGAGACCCAGTGTCGAGCGGCGCCGGGAGAGGAGACCCCCACACACTGTCACATGGAGACTTAAGCAGTTAGACCGGTGCGCCTCCGCCTCCCTCGGCCCCGGGACCTGCGCAAGCACGACGTACCTCCTCTTGCCCCGCCCCTCCACTGCCGCGGAACATTCTGGGAATTGTAGTTTTCGGCGGCTTCGCCAACCAGCGTTCAGTTGTGAACCAGCGCCGGGCTGGCCGAGTTGGAGGAACTACTCATCCCAGCATTCCTCGGATGGCGACCGGCCTCCTGTCTCTGTTGTCTACTCCCTCTCCTTTCCTCTCCCTCTTCTTTCTTTTCTTTTCTTTCTTTCTTTCCTTGTCTTTCTTTTCCTCCCTTCCTTTCTCTTCTTCTTTTCTCTCTCTCTCTGTCTCTCTCTCCCTGTCTCTCTTTCTCTCTTTCTTTCTCTCTTTCTCTCTCCCTCTCCGTTTCTCCCTCTCCCCTCTCTCCTCTCTTTTAAGCACCGGGCAAACCCGAGTGGGAGGTTAAGGTTTACTGTGGCTTCTCGTCTCTCTCTTCTCCCTTGGAGGTGGGCTGCATTTAGCTCCTGTTATTTCTCAGAGTTGGTATTCAGACTGTCAGCCGACACCTGAGGAGAACCTTAAATTATGTGTGGGGGGGGTGTGATAAGTGAGCCTGTGGAAAAAGTTTCCGGGCCGTTTCAAATTTGTGATGTGATCATGCTTTTGTGGGAAACCCAAGCCAAGGAGCACTCAGGCGATGCTGCGCTCTTCCAGTCCTGAGGTCCTGCAGCTCCATCTTGGCATAACCAATTGTGGAGGCACCTGAATTAATGGGGCTTCTCTGGGAGTGGGACGGAAACGCCCATCCCGACTTCTCGACGATGACAGGTCCTCTGCACCCCCGTCTACCAACTACTTGACAACCTCTGGGCCATTTCACGCCTCCACTCCCAGCCCGTTCAGTTTCTGCAGCGGGGAGAGGGCTGGGATCTAATAGTTAAAGGATGTCGTGGAGCCGCACCAACGCCAAGCCCGCTTTACTGCTCCTCAGAAACTTCCAGCTCAGCCCTACGGAGTGAGGGCGATGAGCCGCCTTTCCTGAGTCACGCACACGCTCCTGCGTGCCCGAGTGCCTGTGTCGGAGGCGTGCGCGTGCTCGCGTCAGCTTGTGTATCCGTGCGGGGATGTCTGCGTGTGCGTGCGGAGACGGGCGCAGGGGTGGGCGTGGCCAATGGCACAGCTGCGTCTCCGCGGCTTCCTGCGGCTGTTAGCAGAAGCTTCTGGTACCCCGCTTGGCCGTCTCGCTGCTTAAGCAAAAATACTTGATATGTACGCATTTCAGGCAACCGATTTTTTTAAAGTTCTCTTGGCCTTAGTAAATTTAGGGATAGCTTTTTTTAAAAAGGGTAAAATGTCATCTACGCTGGAACTCTGTGCATTTCAATTCTAGAATATGGCAAAGAAAAAAAAACACCGTTTAGTTTTTTTTTTTAACCATGCTTGTATTTTATAGGGCTTCTTAAATCATAGTTCAATATCTAATAGGTTCTCAGAAATTCTAGGCCACTGTGTCTTCACATATCATTTGTGCCCTTATTCTCTCTTCCACCTCTGGGACTCCAATATACATTAGGTCTCCCCACGGTGCCCTTCATGTCTCTTGCCCTACAACAATATTTTTTTATTTTTAATTTTGCATTTCCCCCCCTCATTTTAGATTGTTTTGGCCTATCTTCTAGTCATCTACGCGCTCTTTAGGTGTGCCTAAACAACTCTAAAATTCACTCAATTATTAAACTTTGTATTTTTTAGTGTTATAATTCCTATGTGGTTCCTTTCCAAATCTGCAGTGTCACTTTTATAGATTCGAGTTCTCTGACAAAATTTAGAAGCTTGATTTGTTTTTTCAAGGAACTTAGGAAGGATAGTGCTTTTGAGACTTATTTAGTCTATTTCATCTGTTGTTTCAGTTCTTCTGACTCATGCTTAACTCTTTTTGCATACATTCTCTTTGATGTTACATTTTGCTTAAAAAAATTAATTATAGAAATAATTTGAAGCATTGGATGACATGTTTCTACACAGCTTCATTTCCTTCCTATCAGGTGCTAAAAATCAATTAGAGAAATAATCTGAAACACTGCATGACATTATGTTCCTAGAGAGAGGAGCCTGAGCATGTCTGGGAAAACTAGATGATATTCTAGTCCACATTCCCATTTAGGGGCTGTGATTTTGGTATCTTATCCCAGAGTCAGAGGTGTTTAACAGGTTACCACCCTTAACTATGTTGAACTCTAATCCTAGATCCAACTGACTGACAAATGCTCAGTTTTTGCTCTTCCCTCTTAAAGTTAGTTGACTAATCATAGTACTATGCATACTAAAACAACATTTCGATACTACCCATTTGTGGTTTAACATTTTGATCAGTTATGTCTGTGGCTTCTACCATGATTTTGTTCTCATCAGAGTGTGAAGCATACAAAAAGCAGATGTAGTTTCCAGATTATGCTGGAACATGCTCTGTATACCAAAGTGTTTGTGGCTGGCTACCAAGATAGAATGGTATTAATCTTCACAAAGAAATTGAACACTGGTGCCACCAAAAAAGAAAGAAAGAAGGAAAGAAAGAAAGAAATTAAATGTAGCTCAAAATTCTAGGACCAAACTAAGAATTCTGGGGACACCCCCTCACTCATAATTCAACTGGGTTGGAATGAAATCCTCTCAAACAGTGATTAACAATTATCTTTCTAGTATACTGAAATAAAATATTCCTTTACACGGAATTTCTTTCATTTTAATTTAAAAAAATCAATGATGCCGCAAATAATTTTCTATATAAGCTAATTTGGGGTATTCTAAACCTATCCTTAATGGCATAGCAAATGTGAATATTTACATATATATAAAACTGACTCTAGGCCACAGAAAACTAACATTCTGTTCATTATCTGAAGCCAATAATAAGAGTGGGCTTTCAGAGAACTTATCATCTTTTGAAAACAAAAATGGAACAAAAATGAATGAAATTAGTTGCTGTTGTTTGGATGTCATTTGTCTCCTAAAGCTTCATGTATTGAAGTTTAGTCACCACTGTGGTAATGTTAAGATGTGGTGGCACCTTTAACAGGTGGAGCCTAAATGGGAGGTCACTGGTGGTGTTGCCCTGGGAAAGTCAGTTCTCCTGTCAATGAGTTGTTCTAAAAAGAACAAGACTGGCCTGTCCCCTTTCTCTTGCTGATTGTGATGTCATAAGGTCTTCACCAGAGCAGACCCAATTCAGATGCCATGCCCTTGAATCTCCAGAACTATGAGCTAAATAAACCTTTCTTTATAAAATATTCAGCCTCAGCTATCTCCTTGTAGCAACAGAAAACAGGTTTCTACAGAAAATTGTTGAAGTGTTTTGGAACTAAGTAACAAAGGTTGGAAGATGCCTAGAAGAAGCCTTAAAATGCTGTAAGAGGAGCATTAGAGGTAATAGAAGGATTTTTAAGAAGAGACAGCGGAGATAAGGAGAAGTTGTTGAAAAGAATTTGGCTACATTGGGTCAAGGCCCTAGAGCTTTAAGGAAGTCCTAATTTAAAAATGACAAACTAGTTTATTTTGATAAAGTTTCAAAGCAGTCAGTCATCAGTATGTGCATTAATTGCCTGCTTTTAGTTAGATTTATAGTGAGACTTGGGGAAAAAAGGAAATGGAAAGATTTGAACAATTTACAGTCTGATCAGGGAGGGAATGACAAAGCTCTTAACAGTGCAGCTCAGTTACCCCTTGCTAAAGAGATTAGTGTGAATAAAAGTAGCCAGCTGCTTTGCACAGGATAAGGAGAAGACTAGAGGGCATCTCAGAAATCTATGAGGCTGCATCTCCCATCACAAGCCCATACATAGGCCTTCCTAAGTAGAACTGTTTCAGGGAAGGGCACCATGGCATCTTCCATGTGCTCACTATCCGTTGCCACCCTGGGATTCTGGCTTAGTGGTGAAGTGCTCTGCAGCCACTGCAGCAATGGTTCAAGCAGGTCCATGCACTGCTCCTGCTGCCAGCAGACCTTCATCGTGCCCACCTGGTGCTGGTTCTGTAGGCTTGCAGAATGTAAGATCAGGGATCATGGTAGTTAACAAGGCAGTTTCAAAGGAAAATCCTGGGAGTTGGGCAAAAGTTTTCACAGTGTCAGAGCCCCTGCAGAGATTGTCCACTAGAATGCATACTGGAGTCATGGGAGTGGAGACAAAGCAAGGACTCTAGAAAGGCAGAGGAATCAACAGCAAACAACACCCAGCTGGAAATCTGCAGAGATTAACAAGCTGCTTGAGAGGGCAACCATGTTTTCTTTAGTCAAAAGGGAAAACAGAAGGATTAAGACTAGAGTGGCCACTTACCTGTTTTTTTGATGAGTTGCTATCTTAATATACTCCAGAAGTAAAATGACTTGTTTTGGGGTTGTTATGCAAAAGAAGAAAGAAATGCTATTTAAAAAGTTAATGAATATAACTGGCTGAATGTAACAGGATACTTGTTCAATAGAATGACGTGAAGTAGAAGAGCAATATGAAGTTTTTTGAAGGCCAGAAATGTGTATCATGTTTTTATACCTTTTATAGAGCCTAGCACAATACTATTCATATCAAAGAGTCAAATATTTACTGGATGAATTTTTTTCAATACCTGAACATATTATTTTCTAGGTTAGCAGGTGGAATTATTTTTAAACTATAATTAAGAGCAATAACTCGTTTCTGCTAACTTCTGAATTTTTCATCTCTTTGAACAATTTAAAGTAGCATGGTCTTGTTCTATTCCTTTGTCAAACATTCTCCTTAAAAATGTAGATCATTGTAAAGAAATCACTTAACTACTTACCTGAGAACCATTCTTCATAGACATTATTTCTTTTGAAATTCATAGCATCTTTATTCATTCAGCAAAGGACATTTTTCATTATAAACTATTAGTTTCTGTAATCAAACCCATGCAGATAAAGATCCCTTATCCAGTGTTACCCCTTAAAAATGGAAAAAAACAAAGTTTAACATTTCCAGACCAATATGGCTATTAATTTCTGTACAACACCAACTCAATAC